CGGTGCCGGGGCCGGCAGCTGACACGGTGGCTTTGACGCTCATCACCAAGAGGCACTGGGGACAGGTGCAGGTGGGGACCGGGGGGGCCGCCGCTGCCCCAGGGCTGGTCGGCCAGGACTGCGACTTGGGCAGGGTGCCCGAGACCAGAGGATAGACCATGTCAAGGCGGCGGCGGACACGGCGCTTGCGCTGGGTCTGTCGGTTGATCTGGCCCATGGTGGCAAAGTCAATGACGTAGCAGAAGCCAATGGCGCTCAGGTCCACCCAGGGGTGCTGCTTCTCGTAAGCACGCTGGATTGTGATGCCCACGTCCATGTCATAGGGTGTCCAGGACCCGCTGTCATTCTCCCACTCCCACACAACGCCTTTGCCCGGTGCAGATGATGGGTCGTAGTAGCTGCGCCGGACAGGGCGGATAGTGCCTGAGGGAGGGTGGGAGATGACATCAGACCTTGGCGCCAGCACTCACCTATGGGCAGGGAGTGAAACCACCCCAACCTGCCCCACCGCTGCTGTTCGGCATGGGTTCAGGACAGCTTTGCAGCTCAGCTCTTGTTCCCTGCCCTGCCAGGGAACTGGTGTGCCTTGGTTTCCCCAGGCCGCTGCCTGCAAGCTGCCCTGCTGCCAGCACACCCAAAGGGCCAGGGAGCCCCTGGGCCACATGCATCCAGCATGGGCACGTGCCCAGTGTGACAGGGAAGGGCAGATTTCACCCCCATCAGTCTATGGCAGTGGCCACCCTCCCAGCCCCAGAGTGCAGCCGCTCAGCCCTGATGGAGAGATAGAACCACAAGCTTGGCCGCTCCAACCTGCTCCCAGGGACCTCCCATGGGAGCCTGATGAAAACAGGCACATAAGCACTGGACTCCTGCAGTGCCTGCCATGGCCCTGTCTCCCTCTCTGCTCTGGACAGGGATGGGGGAATAAAAGATCTAAGTGGCAGCTCTGAGCACAGGGGAGCAGGGCTTGAGCCAGCCTCACTGTCTGCAGCTTCCAAAATTGCTCGTGACAAAAACCCAGTCTGTGGCACAGGGAAAATCCCCACAAGGCCAAACAAAGGAGTTCAAGTGGGGCCCCATGCCCAGCTCCTGCTTCCCTGTCAGCAAGCGTTAAGAGAGGGATGAGAGTGCAAAGCACAAAGGCTTTGTGGCTTGCATCCTTATTTTTGCTACGTGTTTCCTTTCCTACTGCTCCCAGTTGACTAAAATACATTCAAAGCACAGATGCAAATTTTGGAAACTCCTACAACGAAGTAAAGCCTTCCTCTTTAGGATGTTTCACAGCACAGCAGGGCAGGCTGAACATGTCTGGGGTCAGCCTCAGTGTCCCATTCTGAGCACACTAACAGCACGTAGAGTTGCCTGATTAATAGGTGGGATAAGCTCACAAGCATTGCTGCCTCCATGCTTTTCTGAACAACCCCATGGCTCAGCCTTGCTGCCAGCAATAGGTACAAGAAAGCTCAAATACAAGAAATAGTAAGCCTTCATCTCCAGCTTTTCACCACGTGTCTCACAAACCTTGCAAGAATTTCAGTCCCTTTTCCCCCCCACCTCTCCGCTGGGAGCAGCCGCCACTGTCTGTCCCCACACAGTACCACTTTCTCACAAAAAAGGTGGGCTAAAAAGGAAAAGCTGTTTATTCCACTAATGACAGGCACACACCGAGCACCCCACAATGCAGAATGCACCGCAGGCAAGGCAGGCCCCCACCCATCCCTGTCCTGCAAAGGGGCACCCAGGGGAGAAAAGCCACTAGTGCTGGCAGCACAAAGCGGGGCCAGAGGGAGCGGGGCGGTGATTTATCCTAATCCGGAGCAGGGTGGGGAGGGCAGTGCCATGTGGCATCTGGCTGTCCAGGCAGCGTGTGGGAATGCTGCGCTTCTCCCCAGTCCGGCACGGCCAGCCGGCCTCCCATTCAGCAGGGGAAGAAAAGGGACAATAGCTATTCAGGGCCTGCCAGGGTCGTGACCCCCCAAAATCAAAGCTGTTTAATGACCCAAAATACCAACATCCCCAGCAACCCAGGGAGCAACAGAACAATCTCCCTTTGAGGCCTCCTCCCCATGAGACAATAGCCCACAGAGGCTGGCCCCCAGCCCCTTGTCCCACAACCCCTGGTAGGGGAGGGTCCCTGCCAGCACCCAGGGCTGCTGGGGGAAGGAGAGAAAAGGAGGGTGTCCAGAATCCCGAGACACCTAGCACCCCTTGTCCCAGGGACAAGGGATATTAGCCGGTCCCCTTCCCATAGTCAACACAAGAGTTTTTTGGGGGACACAAATCCCTTGTGCCAACCTCTCCCTCACAGGTGCCTGTGCCCCACATCCCAGACACCCCCAGGGCCATATGAGCCCCACCACTGAGGGGATTCCTCCATACCCCCACCACCCTGGAGACCCCCATGCCTGCTCACTGCTCCTCCATCCCCAAATACTCCCTTTTACCTGTCCAAAGCACCACCCTGGACATCCCCCCACCTGCCTGTGCCCTCCATGAGCACCCCACCACCTGTTTGTGTCCCATTCTGGACACCTCCATAGGCTGCCATGACCCAGAGCAGGATTTGGCCCCCAAGTACCATACAGCCTTTGGGGTTGATGGCAGCTCAGAGGCAGCACAGAGTGAGCAGGGCATGATGGGGTAGGGCTCTGGGAAGGCTCGGCAGGGGATGGGATTCACGCACAAAGATTGTGGGCAGGGGGAAGAAAAGGCCATAGGATGCAACAAGGCCCAGGAAAGTGCAGCAGGGAGGAGGCTGGGCAGCACAACCCAGTAAAGGATCAGGAACGCACAGCAGGGCTGGGCAGCACGGCTACAGCAAGCACCCGGGGATGCAGCAGGATGGCATAACACAAGCTGGCAGTGGGCAACCCTGGGCAGCAGCATGCAGGGCTGGGCAAAACCAAGGCAAGCAGAGCAGGGTGATGCAGGGCAAATCCAGGTGCTGCCCAGGGCAGGGCCACGGCGCCCAGGACCAGGCAGGATAACGCGGCGCCCAGCAGCTCAGCCAGCAAGGCCGCAGTGCTGGGCAAGGCAACACAATGCAACACGGGGCTGGGAAAGGCAGCGCAGTGCAACCCGGCTCCACATCAGGCAGTGTGCAGTGCAGGATGGGACCGGCAGCACAGCCTTGTACAGCACCGTGCAACCCAATTCCAGGTCAGGCAGCACCGCTGCACGGGGCAGTCCTACTCCAACCAGCGCAACGCAACAAGGGACCTCGAAATGCGGGGCAAGCCCAGATCAGTCACGTCGGGCAGGAAAGCAGCACAGGGCCTGGCACCACCACCCCTTGGGCCGAGGGACCAGGACAGGGCAGCGCCGAGCAACGCGGGGCCAGCCCGGGGAGGCTGGCAAGGGGAGGGCAGGGCAAGGGTCGGGGTCGGTTGCCCGGGCGGACTCACCGGTGTCCTGGCGGAACTGGTGCATGGACTGCAGGTCGATGATGTAGGGCGCCAGGCGGCTGTCGGCCTGGCCCAGCACGACGCTGCCGCCCGCCCGCGGCCCGGCGCG